TTCTGACAGAGGGCTGATCTCTAAAATATACAAAGAACTCAAGAAGTTAGTCTCCAAACAGCAAACAATCCAATTAAAAAGTGGGGTACAGAACTAAATAGACAATTCTCAATAGAGGAACCAAAAATGGCTGAAAGACACTTAAAGTGTTCAACATCCTTAGCCATTAGGGAAATGCAAATCAAAACAACTCTGAGATACCATCTTACTCCTGTCAGAATGGCCAAAATCAAAAACACCAATGACAGTTTATGCTTGAGAGGATGTGGAAAAAGAGAAACACTTCTCCGCTGCTGGAGGGGGTGCCAACTTGTACAGCCAAGCTTGGGCTTGGTCAATACTTTGGGATAAATGTATTGCTCTTTGTAGGAACTCCTCAAGAAAATGGGAATCAATCTACCACAGATCCAGCAATTCCACTCCTAGGCATATACCCACAAGAACAACATTCTTACAACACGGACATCTGTTCAACGATGTTCATAGCAGCACTATTTGTAATAGCCAGAAACTGGAAGCAGCCTAGATGCCCCTCAACCAAAGAATGGATAGAGAAAATGTGGTACATTTACACAATGGAGTACTACTCAGAGAAAAAAGACAATGGAATCTTGACATCTGCAGGAAAATGGATGGAACTAGAAGAAACCATTCTGAGTGAGATAACCCAATCACAAAAAGACAAACATGATATATACTCACTCATATGTGGATTTTAGACATAAAGTAAAGTAATACCAGTCTACAATCCACACTGCCAAGCTAGTAAACAAGGAGGACCCTAAGAGAGACAAACATTGTCCCCTGGAGTAGGGGAAAGGATCAAAATCCCCTGAGCAAATTGAGAGCAGGGGAAGAGGGGGAGGGAGCTAGGAGAATGAGAAGGGGAGAAGAAGAGGGGTGAGGAGGACATGAGGGAGCAGAAAGGTTGAGTCAGGGGGAGAATAGAAGATAACAAGAATGGAGATACCATAATAGAGGGAGACATTTTAAGTTTACAGAGAAATCAGGCACTAGGGAAATGTCTGGAGATCTACAAAGATGACACCAGGTAACAATCTAAGCAACAAAGGAAAGGCTACTTTAAATGTCCTCCCCTGATAATGAGATCGATGACTGACTTATCTGCCACCCGATAGCCCTCATCCAGCACCTGGGGAAAGTAGAAGCAGACACCCACAACTAATCACTGAACTGAACTGGAATCCAGATGCAGAGAAGGGCAAATGAAGAGCAAAGGGGTCCAGACAAGGCTGGTGAAACTCACAGAAACAACTGACCTGAACATCGGGGAACTCTTGGTCCCCAGACTAATAGCTGGGATACCAGCACCGGACTGATCCAGACTCCAGGAACATGGATTTCATTGAGGAAACCTCGGAAATCTATAGGACCTCCTGTAGTAATTCAGTACTTATCCCTAGCATAGGTGTGGACTTTGGGAGCCCATTCCACATAGAGGAATACTCCCTGAGCCAAGACACACAAGGGATCCCAAAGGATATGATAAACTCTGATGACACCCTATGGAAGGCCTCACCATCCGGGGGAGCAGAAAGGATATGTGATAGGTTTTTAGTTGGGGGGTGTGGTAGGGGAGGAGGGGAGTGAGAAGGGAACTGGGATTGTCATGTAAAAAATCTTGTTTCTAATTCAAATAAAAAATGATTTTAAAAAAAGACATAAATAAGTCCCAGCTCATGGAGGTAGCTCAAAAGTTATTTAACAACAAAAACTGATCCAGAAACAAGACCACCATCACTTTCTCTATATATAAGACACAGACTATACAAAAAAATAAAATAAAATGATCTGGTGCCCCTTTCTGGTGTGGCAAACATGCAGGTAGAACACTGTATATGTAATAAATAAATAAACAAATAAATAAATAAGAAAAGAGAAGAGAAGAAAAGAAAAATGAAGAAAAGGGTTTATCTGTGTAGCTTTGCATCCTGTCCTGGAACTTGCTCTGTAGACCAGGCTGGCCTCAAATTCACAGAGATCTGCCTGCTGCTGGCTCCCAATTGCTGGGATCAATGGCATGTGCCATCACCTCCCAGCCCTTCATTTTATTTTTTATGTAGCAAGACTTGATATCAACTAAAATAAAACTTCAAAGTTGCAAAAAAATTTTAAGGTTTAAATGAGGAGGTATGGGATGCTAACAGTCCTGCAGAAACCAGGTGTGGTGGCACATACCTACCATCCCAGGCTGAGGAGTGGGCAGTAAGAAGATCAATAGTTCAAGAAGATCATCCTTG